TGAAAAAAAAAATTTTCACTCAATTCAATTTTATTAAATTTTGAGGAAAATATTTTGGGCAAAAAATTTTTGGGGAAAAAAATTTTGGGTAAAAAATGTTGGGGAAACATTTTTGGGAAAAACTTATTTCGGTAAAAAAAATTTTGGAGAAAAAAAAAATCTGAAAATTTTTTTTTTACTCAATTCAGTTCTATTAAATTTTGGGAAAAACATTATGGGGAAAAAATTTTGGATAAAAAATGTTGGGGAAAAAATTTTTTGGAAAAAAAATATTTTGGGGAAAAAAATTTTGGGGAAAAATTTTGAGAAAAAAATTTTGGGGAAAAAAATTTGAGAAAAAAATTTTGGGAAAGAAATTTTGGGGCAAAAAATTTTGGGAGAAAAAAAATTGTAGAAAAAATTTTGGGGAAAAAAAATTAAGAAAAAATTTTGAGGAAAAAATCTGGATAATCAAAAACTAGTTCATGGTTTTTTCACTCAAAACACCCACATTTTTCGAAGCAGTATTTCGAAGCGTGCGTCATATGCCTCTTGAAGAAGAAAAAAAAAATCATAAATTTTTATGATAATATACTTGAAGAAGAAAAAAAAACATAGATTTCCAAAGTAAATAGGTTATAAATTCGTTCTATAAAATATTTACGTTTTAGTTAAAAATGTGTTGATTGATTAAATTTCATAAGTGCATAATTTGAAGATAATTGTTATTTTGGTTATACTTTACTTGATTTCAGTATCAAATAAAAATAATTTGGTAAAAATGATAAATATGATACGACGTTTATTAATTAATTTGTTATTGATGTAATTAGTTTAAACAAAGTGTCAAATGTTAAATATCATATTAATCATGATCCGGAGCGAACTAGTAACGCAAAATGAAATAATTCTCACGCCGTTATCAAAATAAAAAATCGCTAACATTTTAATAAAAAATAAATAAGATAACAAAATTTAAAACTATAAATAATAAGCAAAATACTAATAAAATCATTGAATCGACTAAACAACATTTTTATAAAAATAATAACATAGTAACATAAGAACTAAAAGTGTATTTGCAGTTAATGTAGTACTGTACTTTAAATAAATAGGTAAGATTACATCCGTATTATTATTATATATATTTGAACATAATATAAATATCAAGTTCAGACTATAGATTCTATGCACCCCAATTGTAAGCATGTAAAGCTCGAGGTATGTTCAATTATAGCTCTTAGTGAATATAAAAATAGGTTTCAATAATTCAAAAATAAAGAGCGAATTATTTCAATTTTCACATAAAAGTGTTTTTTTGAAAGAATTGTTTTTAATTGCTCCTGAAGAAGGTACATTTCAATTTCATTTCTTCGAAACGCAGAGAATATTTATAAATGAAAAAAAAAATCACACAAATAAAAACAGTAATTTATTGTCGATTACATTGAAAATAACTTAGGTATACTACAATTGCATTTCATCATTATATTTCTAATCTCGCTTTCAAATTTTTTAAAACACCCCTATTTATTCTAGCTCCTGATTTTCCTTCTCAATAACGTGCAAAATTCTATCATAGTCAATTAGTTAGAATGAAAAGATTTATTAACTTCTCGTAGGGTAAGTTATTGTAATCGCAAAAAAATCGATAATGAAAATTTTTATATATTTTTAAGTTTCAGAGGTTTCTGAACATTCTGGCATACCTTAGAAAAAAATGATGTGTGTGTGTGTGCGGATAAAAATTTTTGTCGACGATTTCGGGAACACGGATCAACCGATTTCAATTATTCAAAAAACATTCGATTGCCGTTCGATTTTAATAATTCAAAAAACATTTTACTTGTATTGACAAGATGAACAACTGATTAAATTTTCACGAAAAGCCGATCTAGCGGTTCCGGAGATCTAGTGAAAAAAGTAAAAAAAAAGCCATTTGGCGGTCAAAAATGATCATTAGACATATGCACATCAAATTATCAGATATTTTATAGAGATTTTAACAATAAGTATTAATTTTGTTTCCATTCCTATGGGTTCTGTACCAAAACATTTGTTTTCAAAAAGTCTTTTTTTCAAAAAAAAAATTAAAAAAAAACAAAAATTTATAGTTTCTCAAAAATTTAATTTTTTCAAAGTAATTTTTTTTTAAAAATGTTAATCTTTTTAAAAACAATAATTATTGGCACGGGAAGTTCCAGCAACTTGCCTGAAGGCACGATGCTATGCACCCCACTAGTTTTTAAATAAATTCACCATCAATTTTGCAGCCCAGCCATTTGTCGATGATGAAACCGTCGTTATCAAACCATTTCGATATTATCACCACGGCAAATAAACAAAGAGTTACACTATCAAATATGAGCTGATGATGAGTGCGAATATTTTCACTCTAGATAAGAAGATATCTTTTAAACAAAACATCGGGCACACGACGTTCGCGTGCCCAGGGCGATCGAATCAGTGATCAGTGATCGGTGATTGCGAAATGCATGCCAATGGTACGATATTAACGAGATGATGCAAAGTACTGATGCAGACCATGCAAAAAGACGAAGAGACAACATAGATTATTCTCAAATCAATTATGAAAATATTATTAGAACTATGGTATTTGAATAAAGGGGCGTCCATTAATCACGTAAGCGAGTTTTTAAGGAATTAAAAAAATTTTTTTTTGGTAAATTTGAAACTTTTTTAAAAGTTCGAATTTTTTTGGAATTTTTGAAAAAAATCGTTTTTTCTTTTAATTTTTTTTGGAAAATAGGAAATCTTTGAAAATATTTGTTTTTTTGAAAATCTCGAAATATTCTAAAATTTTTGTAAAAAATCTTCAAAATTTTAATATATTTATGGACAATTATGAAAAATTTCGAGAATTTGAATTTTTTGAACCTTTTTTTTTGAAAATTTGAAAAGAGCATTTTTTTCACACCCCATCTACAGAACCAAAATGTTTTTTGAATTAATCTAATCGGATGATGCGTTCTCTCAAAAACTGCATTTTTATACCCTTTGCGCTCCATACTTCCGAAACGACTAGACTTTTTGCAAAAACGCCTCGTGATCGAGTACGTACCGAATATTTTTTCAATCATTCAAATCGATTATTCCATACTGTCGAAAATGTCTAAGACATTTGTTTGAACCATATAAATAAACTTCAAAATTAAAAATCTTTATTAATTTACACAAAATGTGTACACAATATTAAAATCTCTATAAAATATCTGATAATTTGATGTACATATGTCTAATAAACATTTTTGACCGCCAAATAACATTTAACTTTTTTTTTTATTGAGAGTCCATAACCGCAGGATCTGCCTTCCCAAAAGGCCAGTTGTTCATTTTGTCAATGCAAGTAAAATATTTTTTGAATTATTAAAATCGGACGCCCCGTTCTATTAAAAACTGAGTTACCAGTTTTGGCACTTTTTGCCCCGTATCTACGGAACAGCCAGACCTGCCTTCGCCAAAAACTAATCAGCACGTCACCTTATCAATATAAATTGAATGTTTTTTTAAAATTATTCAAATCGGTTATTTCATACAGTCGAAAATGTCTAGGACATTTGTTTAAACCACATACGTAAATTTTAAAATTAAAAATCTCGGTACGGAACCCAAAAAAATTGACACAAAATGCCACATACACATTATTAAAATTTCTGTAAATCGGAAAAACCGTGTTCTCAAAATCGTCGACGAAAATTTGTATTCGCACACACACATACATCCATATTTTCTAAGGTATTGCAAAATATATATTCAGAAACCCCTGAAACGTAAATGTTTTGGTAAAACTAGTGGGGTGCATGGCATCGTGTCTTAAGGCAAATTGCTGAAACTTCCCGTACCAAAAATCATTATTTTTTTAAAAACGATTAATATTTTTGAAAAAATTTTACTTCGAAAAAATTATATTTTTGAGAAACTATAAATTTGACAAAAAATTACTTTTTCTTTATTTTGAAATATTTTGGAAATTCTAAACTTTTTTCAAAGCAATCGTACTGCTTTAACTGCATAGAGACAAATTGTCAAAGCGCGTAAGCGCCGCGTCGCCGTCTAACGGGTAAACATTGGTACGGAACCCATAGGAATGTAAACAAAATTTATACTTATTGTTAAAATCTCTATAAAATATCTGATAATTTGATGTGCATATGTCTAATGATCATTTTTGACCGCCAAATGGAATTTTTTTTACTTTTTTCATTAGATCTCCGAAACCGCTAGACCTGCCTTCATGAAAATTTGATCAAATCTTCATCTTGTCAACACAAATAAAATGATTTTTGAATTATTCAAATCGGACGCGGCGTTCTCTTAAAAACTGAGTTATCGTTTTTGGCACTTTTTGCCTCATATCTTCGGAACGGCTAGACCTACCTCCGCCAAAAACTAATCAGCACGTCGCCTTATCAATACGAATCGAATGTTTTTTGAATTACTCAAATCGGTTGATCCGTGTTCCCGAAATCGTCGACGAACATTTGTATCCGTGCTCACACATATACGCACACACACACACATACATTCATTTTTTCTAAGGTATGCCAAAATGTTCAGAAGGTTTCAAAACGTAAAGATATATAAAAATTTTCATTTTCGATTTTTTTGCGATTACTATAACTTGCCCTACGGGGAGTTAATAAAATGACAAAAACTTTGTAAAAAACAAAACATGGACATATATCTTTGAAAATTTTACAAAAATAAAACGACAAAAACTTTGTTAAAAATCAAAATATATATAAAAATAAATATATAAAAATGTTCGTTTTCTATTTTTTCGCTATTACTATAACTAACCCTACGGGAAGTTAATATTCTTTACGAACGAAATTTCAAATAGCTCGCCGGTTAGTGTTTTCCCCCGCGACCTACCCCAATCGTTCGCCTCGGCCGCGGTCCTTTGCCGTGACGCGGCAACACTGTAGTCCTCTCCGCCCTCTCCGTCCTCGTGCCCCCGCCGTCGACGTTCGCGGCGGAACCGTAGCGCGTCTGCGCCGCTAATGTCAGCGCTTACAAGCGATCATTTGTTTTTTCCCGAACCAGTCAGTCTTTTAAAGTATTGAATGCCGATCGGTCGCGCTATTGTTGCACACCGTTTATTATTTCGCGACAATTGTGCAATAGATCGATTCATAGTTGCCGGTTTTTCCAAAATTTCCGTCATGTCTACGAATTTGGTTTATAGCGAGAGCACGTCCCGTCTGACAGGAATCGACCATTTGCGCAGCGCGCAACTGAACAAGGTTAGTTTTGATACACTATTGGTACACTTTCTTACTACTTACATTTTATTAATTAAATCACTTACTTTCGTTCAACTGTCTTAACTGATGTATAAAACATACGATTTATTACATCTGCTTACACGTTTTTTAAAATAAGTAAACTAAAAACTAAAATTCACATAAGAATATCACAATTATACTGTTAAAAAATATTTTCTTTACATTTCCACAATATGATGGTTTAACAAACGTATACGCTGCTAGCTTCCTATTTCATTTATTTATCATGCCCTTTCGATATATAATTTCATTTTCTGATCTAATCATCTCTATTTTTTATCAAAAAATATTTTTTAAGTTTCCGTTGGGTTAGTTATAGTAATCGTAAAAAAATCGAAAATGAATTTTCTTGCATATCTTTACGAACTGATGAAAATTGTATGGATACAATATTTGGTCGACGTTTTTTTGAGCACCGCTCTACGATTTGAATTAGTCAAAAAGCATTCGATTCCTATTAATACGGAGATGTGCTGATTAATTTTTGGCAAAAGTTGATCCACCCGTTTCGGAGATACGGAACAAAGAGTGCAATGAAATGGAAATTAAATTTTTTAGAGAACCAAGTTTCGGAGACCAAGTAAAAAGGTTAAAAAAAAAATGCTATTTGGCGCTCGAAAATCAGATATTTTGAAATTAAAATTAACCAATATAAATAGGTATTAAGAATTTTCAAGAAATTTCAGTTTTCAAAATTTTCAAAAAAAAAAAAATTACTGGGCGTACAAAGGAGTAACAGAATTTATAAAAAGCGCATCCAGTTCATAACTAAGAAATCATTACTGTATTGATGAATTTATTTATTTGTATACAATTAATTTGCTGACTCCATAAAATTAAAACATACTCATAGCTTTTTATTGAAATTAATTATTTGTTCTATTTTTAATATTGGCACATATGACATATGAAGATACCGCAATTCAAGCCGAAAACATGAACCAGCAATTACTCTAACATAACTAAAAACATTAACTAAGGAAATTCATAGATTTAAATATAAATATGTATATATATATAATGGATTTCATTATATATATAATATACATTACATTATCGTCGAGCTACAAAACTTTTATGATTTTTTGTAGTTTAGCGCTCATAGGTTGAGATTAAATTACCAGCTTAAATGAGTTAAAAAAACACTAAATTATGAATCGAAAAGATATGCAAAAATTTTCATTTTCGATTTTTGGACGATTACTAAAACTTACCCTACGGGAAGCTAAAAATTACGAACATGTTTAGAAAATTTATCCAAATTAAATAATTCCAATAGTTACTGGCATTATAATCGACTACAGCAACGAGGTAATACTTATAAATGACCCATTAATTAATATATTAATTAACTTCTCATAGGGTAAGTTAAAGTAATCGCAAAAGAAACGAAAACGATTTTTTTTATATATATTTACGTTTCAGAGATTTCTAAACATTTTGGCATACCTTAGAAAAAATGGATGTATGTGTGTGTGTGTTCGGATCCAAATTCGACGCTTTCGGGAACACGGTTCAACTGATTTGAATGATTAAAAAAACATTCGATTCCTATTGATAACAAGACGTGCTGATTAGTTTTTGGCAACGGCAGGTCTAGCCGTTGCGGATATACGGGGTAAAAATGCCAAAAATGGTAACTCAGTTTTTAAGAGAACGAAGCGTTCGATTTGAATAATACAAAAAACATTTTACTTGTATTAACAAGATGAAGAACTGATCAAATTTTCATGAGGGCAGGTCTAGCGGTTTCGGAGATCTAACGAAAAAATAAAAAAGAAATGCCATTTGGCGGTAAAAAATGATCATTAGACATATGCACATCAAATTATCAGATATTTTTTAGAGATTTTAACAATAAGTATAAATTTTGTTTACATTCCTATGGGTTCCGTACCAATGTTTATACGTTAGACGGCGATGGGGCGCTTACGCGCTTTATATTTTGTTTCTATGCAGTTAACGCAGTACGATTGCTTTGAAGAAAAGTTCAGATCTTCCAAAATATGTCAAAATAAAGAAAACATTTTTTTTCAAAGAAAAAAAATTAAAAAAATGTATGTTTTTTTTAAAAAATTTTTTTTTAAAAAAAAGTAATTTTTTGTCCAACTTATAGTTTATCAAAAAACTAATTTTTTCGAAGTAATTTTTTTTCAAAAGTTATTCGTTTTTAAAAAAATAATAATTTTTGATACGGAAAGTTCGAGCAATTTGCCTTAAGGCACGATGCCATGCGCCCCACTAGTTTTTAAAAAGTTTAATTTTTAGTACGTTCCAGCAATTTACCTTAAGCCACGATGTCTCACACCACTAGTTTATCATTGATTAAGTCGATCATTGACACTTACACATGCTGGGAAGTTAATGCAATAATAAACCTTAATGCATAATGCCACTTGCACCTAGTTTTCATAGATTCATATCAATAATCGAGTGCTATAGGCTATAGTTGTCTATCATATCCGGCAGCCCCCGACGGGTCGACAGTTCGCATTTTGCATATTCAAGTGCGATTTGCGATTATTCCGATCGTTGTACTTTTTTATAATTGAATTTGCCCATAGAGTCGGACAGCGCGGACGTCACGGCACATTTTCATTATTATTATTATTTATTCCTGACATTGAAAATTTTCACTTATCCATATTCATAACGTAAGCTGTTGTTTACGCGTAAAAATTTCATATTCAACATAATTGTAAATGATGCATTCATATAAAAGTAACATTTGCAGATAGTGGACAAAAATAGATTCTCTTATATATCTTGAATAATCTTTCATCGTTTTTTTGTTATCTAACAGATTGCGAGGGAACAAATATGATCCCAATCATACAGTTTAATTTTTCTCGTCTATTAAATAAGAAATGGAAAATAAAAGAGCTGTGCAAAATTATCCATAGATACATAATTGGCCTCCTATGTATTGTAAATGAATAACATAAGTATTTCTAACAAGTACATGTCAATGTTAGTAATTATTGCATATGATGCAATAGAGGTTTTAAAATTAATTTTCCGGTCATGTATATACTAAAAATAGCACTGTATTAGTAATGTATATATTCAACTAGGTGTAAGTGGCATTTTGGCTTAAAGCAGGTTGCACATACTTCCCGATATGTGTAATAGAAATAACCGACCTAATAGAAATTGAGATTTAGAAATTTTTCAAATTGTGATGATAAACATTTTTCAAGTTAATGTAAAAATTAACTAGTGGTGTATGGCATCGTGCCTTAAGGCAAATTGCTGGAACTTCCCGCAGCGTAACGAAATGTTCGAGGAATATTAAATGTTTTCATATAGATTATTATAAATATTGTAACATTGTCTAATATTTATAAGAGTTATATAAACTGAATTACAAAGTTAAAATTATTTATTTAAAGTATATAAGTGACTAGATCTTAAACCAGAATTAAAAATAAAATCTGAATTATTTTTGATACACAAAAAAAAATTTGAAAAAAAATTAAAAAAAGCAATTGTTTGGTACAACAAGCAGAAAGTTTTATGAATCATTCAAATCGGATGCTTAGTTCTCTCAAAAACTGCCTTTTTGTACATTTACCTCTGTATCTTCGAAATGCCTGGACCTTTGACTTTGCCAAAAACTAATCACCACTTCTACCCACCATTACAAATTGACTATTTTATGGATCATTCAAATCGGATACTTCGTTCTTTCAAAAACTCAATTTTTATTTTCCGTACTCTTTGCTTCGTATCTCCGTAATGGGTGGACCTGCCTTTGCCAAAAACTAATCAGCACATCTTCCTATAAATAGGAATCGAATGTTTTTTGAACCATTCAAATCGGTTGGTCCGTGCGCTCGAAAACGTGGACGAAGATTTGCGGACATACAAAAAACACACACATCCTTCCTTTCTAAGGTATTCCAAAATGTTCAGAAACCTCTGAAACGTGAAGATATGCAAAAATTTTCATTTTCGATTTTCGGCCCTTTTATATTTAGATTTATAGCAAACAAACTTATATGTGCAATTGTATTATGTAATTTAGCAATACATACGCACATAAATATTTTGCAATAAAATAAAACAAAAGAATCATTTAATTTAAACGGTCTATGTCATAATTTTTATAATTAAACCAATTTCTGTATGCTTTCAATATTTTAGAATATTCGTTTTTTAGACCATGTACTCTCACTATTTAAATTTTCATAAAAATTAAAAAAAAAAATTACGAAGAAACAAATTATCAAAACTAATCACCATTCACAACTGATATCTTTCGAACAGTTTTCGAATTCACCAAATCAGTCCAAGATTTTTGGCGTAAAGGTACACGAAAAATGTTGCTTTTTTCTTATAACTCTAAAGAAACGTCTGGGCCGATTGTCTCGCAAAACGAGGCTTTTAAGTTTTTGAAATCGCTTCAGTCCAATTTTGACTTGCATACACACCACATTTTTTCAATTTTAGTGTCAAACGATTCAGAATGAATTGAAACATCGAGAAACATTTACAAAATTAGGAAACAGGATTTAATGGCGAAAGCTGTTTTCTCTAAGGAAGTATTGGTTAATAACTTCTATGGTTTTACTTTTAATTTAAATTGAAAATTTGTTAAATGAAAAACAAATTTGGAAATGAAAAGCTCTTAAAGTTTAAATATTTCGATTACGATTTTTGCTTGAAGTCCCAAAAATTTTCGTATGCTAATTTTAGTATGTTCATACAAATACATGAAAAAGCGTTTATCATGGTTGGAAACAAGATATTAATGCATTAATGTTTTTTATTTATCATACAAGCTACGATAAAATAAAAACCATTGTATGAAAAACTGATAACGAAATATTATATTGCAAGATGTCATTTCATAATAAAATTTCTTCAAATGTTTTATTTTACTACATATATTGTATGAAGATCCATATCATATATAGATATATATCGTATAAACTCAATAAAAATAAACATTGAAT